TCAGACTTTAAAAACAGAGAGCTTCACTTCGTCTTATATAAATAAATGGCAATTTAAATTAAAAGTTCAAGACTAATAGTATACAATTAATGAATGGGGCCTGGAGAAAATCCCACCACCTCTTCAGAGCAGCATTATAGCACATTATAAAAGCACACTCTACGAACCTCTTCTACTTTAAAGAAAATCCATCTCTGAGACAGTCTGCTCTGGTTAGTTTTTTTATTAACTTGTGATACAACCCTGATTTATCTGAGAATAAGGATCCTCATCTAATGAATTTTCAGATCAAATTGACCTGTGGCTGTATCTGTAAGAGACTGGCTATCTTGATTGATGATTTATATGAGTGGTCTCAGCCTACTGTGGGCAGTACCACTCCTAGGCAGATGAGTCTGGGATATGTTTAATAAAAAAAAAAAAAGTTGATCCTGAGCAGACAGTGAGCCAATAAGTAGCATTACTCAAGTTCCTGCTTCAACTTCCTACCTGACTTCCTCAAAGATGGACTATGGTCTGAAACTTTAAGATGAAATAAGCCTTTTCCTCTCCAGGTTGCTTTTGGTCATGGTGTTTATTACAGGCACAAAAAGCAAACTAGAACAGAATCTTTATTCAATCTGCTCCTGACATTGGAAGGAAATTACAAAATTTTCATTGACATTCGAGATCCACACTGATGGCTTACTAAATATAATAAATTCTGTTTCCTGTAACTTTGATCTAAGGAGGAAGAGAAAGAACAAAATGAGGCTACACCTCCCAAAAAGAGAGGAAAAGGCACAGAGAACAGCTTGAGACTTCACAGGGCGTACTGATTAGTTTTGTCACCTTGACATATACTAGAGTCCTCTGGGAAGAGGACACCTCACCTGAAGAATTGCCTCTATCAAATTGGCCTTTGAGCACGGCTGTGTGATTTTCTTAATTGTTAATTGGTGAGAAGAGTACACTCCACTATGGGCATTGCCATTTTCAGGCAGGTGGGCTTGGACTGTATAAACTTAGCTGAGCAAGACAGAGAAAGCAAGTCAGTAAGCAGTGCTCCTTCACCGTCTTGGCTTTAGCTCCTCCCTCCAGATTCCTGCCCTGAGGTCCTGCCCTAACTTGTATCAACCATGCTCTGTAACTTGTAAATAAATGAAACCCTTTGCTCTCCAAGTTGCTCTTAGTCATGCTGTTTATCACAGCAGCAGAAACCAAAGCAGAGAGACCAAAAACCTTCCACTGGCTTCACTCCAAGGAAAACCAAGCTTCCAGATAGGTGCTATGTCTGTTGGAAGGAAAATTATTAGAAAACTCTTATCTGAATATTGAGCATCATTCTAAGACTTGTTGCTTGTCAATGAGGTGAAGATAGAACACTGGAGAGGTTACTGTCCCGAGGATCAAAAGCCCCTGAATTAGAGCCCCAGGTATTGTCCTTGGAATGAGGAAGCTCTTGGCTCCAGTTGACTCCTCACTTGACCATCATAAGTGTGACAAAGTCTCACATAAATCTTGAAGTCACAGGTAGGACCATGATTTTCTCCTTGACAGTAGAGCCTACAACTCCACTCTTACCTTATATGCTGGACAGTTGGCCTCTGCCTCTTAAGTAATGTGCATCAGTGAGAGACTCATGACAAAATGTCCGCTGTGCCTTATGCTGTGTATGGAAGAGTTACTGTGCTGGCTAATTTTATGTCAACTTAACACAAGCTAGAGTCATCTGAAAGGAGGAAACCTCAATTATGAAAATGCTACCAAAAAATTGTGCTATAGGCAAACCTGTAGGGCTTAGTGATTAGTGACGTATGGGGATGGCCCAGCCCATTGTGGGTGGGGCCATCCCTGGCTGGTGGTTTTGGGTTCTATAAGAAAGCAGGCTGAGCAAACTATGAGGAGCAAACCACTAAGCAGCACCCTTCCATGGCCTCTGCATCAGCTCCTGCCTTCATGTTCCTACTCTGCTAGAGTCCCTGTCTTGACTCTGATGATAAAACTGTGGTGTGGAATTGTAAACCAAATAAATCCTTTCTTCCTCAAGTGGCTTTGGTCATGGTGCTTCATCACAGCAATAGTAACCCTAACTAAGACAGTTAATCTTGACCTGCCTTTTTTTTCTAGTAATGTCCAACTGTTCTCTACATTTATTGACAAAAAAAAATGGTGTTCTAACTTCTCTTCATTCCAGAAATAATCCAATAACTGCCAAGATCATCTCTCCTGGAGATAATAAACAATTCACTCCTTTCAGGCCTCCTCAGTAACCCACAAGCATGGGCACCAACAGGCCAAAAGGGCAATCACAACCACTCAATTGTAATAAAAATGGGAAATTCTTGTGCTTTTCCTAGCCATAAATAATATTTTTTCTGGCTTAAAATCCAAATAGAACTTTATCCCATAATCAGTAAACTGCTTTGTGTTGGACTTTTAAATCTCTGTCAACATCTTGTAATAATGAGTTTATCTATTATAATCTTAGTGGCAATGCTATTAGTCTTTAGATATTATATACTTGAATGTCCTCTTAAGATAACTGACTCACATTCATAATCAATGAGCCCTCAGCTGGTCATAGGGCATTCTTTTTTCCAAAAATCTGGGTCTCTTCAATTGTCTCCCCAGCTTGAGTGAAGACATAAACTTTTCTATGACTCAGTTAGTCAAAAGTAGCCAGATAGACCCGGTTCCCATCTCCTATGGGATTTTTTGGACTCAAACCTTGAGTGGGGATTGCTAGATAGCTAGTCAGTTATTAAGCAGCATAGAGGGCATGGAGGATGGGGCTTATAGCTCATAATTAGAAGTCTGAAAAAATAGGAAATGAGACTAGAACTTCAACAGCTGGTAAAAAGAATTATATCTGGCTCATATCTCTTGCCTGGAGTAGAGACAAGCCATTCAAAAGTGTTCAGAGATCATCTCATAACTATGTGACTACAGACTTCCTTGTCAGGAACAAAGACATACTATTGTCCTCTCCTCTGAAAGTTAATCCAAGTGGACTCTCCAATTACCTAAACACCCTCCCACCCTGGAAACCCATCTGTTTTGAAGACTTTAAGAAATAGTGCAGGGTTGGGGAGATGGCTAGTTGGTAAAGTATTTGCCATATTAAACCAGACACCGGACTGAAGAGGAAATAGAGAATAGCCTTGTAGACTATTCACAGGAGACAGGAGACAACTTCCTAGACACACAGGTACTAAGATTAACAATTAATAAATGGAACTTCACAAAATTGAGAAGCTTCTGGAAGGCAAAGGACATTGTCAATAGGACAAAACAGCAATCCACAGAATGGGAAAAGATTTTCACCAAGTTCACATCTAGTAGAGTGCTAACATTAAAATATATAAAGAACTCAAGGAACTAGACATTAACAAACCAAATAATCCAATTAAAAATGGGATACAGATCTAAACAGAGAATTCTCAGTAGAGGAATTTCAAATGGCTAAGAAACACTTAAAGAAATGTTCAACATCTTTAGCCATCAGGGAAACACAAATCAAAACTACTTTGAAATTCTATCTTACACTTGTCAGAATGGCTAAGATCAATAACACAAGTGACAGCTCATGCTGGTTAGGCTATGGAGCTAGGGGAACACTTCTCCTTTGCTGGTGGGAATGCAAACTTATACAACCACTATGGAAATCAATGGCTCCTCAGAAAATTGGAATTTATCTACCACTAGACCCAGCTATAACAACTTGTGAACATATACTCAAAGGACACTGCTGTGGGATGTTCTGTATGGCAAATGTGTTGCTGATTGGTCAATAAATAAAACACTGATTGGCCATTGGCTAGGCAGGAAGTATAGGCGGGACAAGGAAGAGAATAAAGCTGGGAAGTGGAAGGCTGAGTCAGAGAGACACTGCCAGCCGCCACGATGACAAACAGCATGTGAAGATGCCGGTAAACCACGAGCCACGTGGCAAGGTATAGATTTATAGAAATGGATTAATTTAAGATATAAGAATAGTTAGCAAGAAGCCTGCCACGGCCATACAGTTTGTAACCAATATAAGTCTCTGTGTTTACTTGGTTGGGTCTGAGCAGCTGTGGGACTGGCAGGTGAGAGAGATTTGTCCTGACTGTGGGCCAGGCAGGAAAACTCTAGCTACAGGACACTCCATCCTACCACAAGGACACTTGCTCAACTATGTTCATATCAGCTTTATTCATAATAGACAGAAACTGGAAACATCCCAGATGTCTCTCAATCAAAGAACAGATTTTTAAATGTGATGTATTTATAAAATAGAGTTTTACTCAACTGTTAAAAAGATGACACTATGATATTTGCAGGCAAATAGATAGAACTAGAAAAAAAATCATCCTGAGTGAAGTATCCCTGACCCAGAAATACAAATATACTATGTACTCACTTATAAGTAGATATTAACTGTTAAATAAAGAATAATCATGCTAAAATCCACAGACCCAGAAAGGCTAAATAACAAGGAGGGCTCTAGGGAAGACAAGGATCTCCCTGGGAAAGGGAAATAGAATAGATTTTGTGTGCAGACTGGGTGCAGGTGGGGATGGGAACAGGGGAATCAGGTTGAGGAGGGAGGGAGAGGGAAATAGTACTAGGAGAGATGGGGGGGCTTTTAGAGGGTGATGTGGAAACCTAGTGCAGTGGAAACTTCCTGGAACCTATGAGGATGACTCTATCAATGACTCCCAGTAAAGGAGAACACAGAGCCTGGGCCAGGCAAGGCTCCCACTGGTGAGACAACAACCCAGCCACAAAGCCCACACATCGTGTCCTGAGTGTAAGTTGTGCTGCGGCAATAGTGGCTCAGCCTGTAGGGGTGGCCAACCAAAGACTGGTATAACTTGAGGCCCAAGGCATGAGAGGGAGTCCATGCCCAACACTGCCTGATTGCCCAGGAACCAGAAGCTGGATGTCTCAGAAACCTAGAATAGAACCAAATGCAACTGACAAAAAAAAAAAAAAGCAATGAAATGGTTCCTAATGATGTTCTGCTATCCTTACAGATTGGTGGCAAGTCCAGCTGTCATCAGAGAGGCTTCATCCAGCAACTGATGGAAGCAGATGAAGAGACTCACGGCCAAACATTAGGCAGAGAGAGTCCAAATTGAAGATCTCCATTGGGTCCCTCCTTCTGGAGCTCAAGGAACCCTGAGGAAAAAGGTGAGGAGGATTGTAGAAGCCAGAGGGGTTGAGGACACCAGGAAGCCATGGCCAACACAGTCAACTAAGCAGGGCTCATAGGGGCTCACAGAGACTGAAGTGACAACCACTGAGCCTGCCTGGGTCTGAGGTAGGTCCTCTGCATACATGCTGTGGTTATTTAGCTTTGAGTTTTGTGGGACTCCTAACAATGGAAGTGGTGGTGTCTCTGTCTCTTTTGCCTGTTTGTGGGACCCTTTTCCTCCTACTGGGTTGTATCACAGAGCCTTGATATAAGGGTTTGTGTCTAGTCTTATTGCATCTTGTTATATTGTGTTCATTTGATATTCCTGGGAGGCCTGCTCTTTTCTCAAGGGAAAGAGAGGAACAGTAAATGGGGGAAGCACTGGAAGGAGTGGAGGAAGGAGAGCCTGTGGTTGGGATGTTTGTATGAGAGAAAAAAAAGAAAGAATACAGGGCTGGGGAGATGGCTCAGTTGGTAAGGTGCTTGCCATATTAGATGTGAGGACCTCAGTTTGGATCTCCAGAACTCACAGAAAGGCTAAACATGGTGTGTACACTGTAACCTCAGCTATGATGTGATAGTGCATACAAAGCTTCAGCTATGGTGAGATGGGAGACAGAGACAGACAGATTTCCTGAAACTCAGTTTTCCAGCCAGCCCAGCTTAATTGGCAAAACTCTAGGCCAATAAGATATCCTGTCTCAAACAAAAGATGGAAGGTTTCTAGGGATTCACACCTTAGGTTATTCTCTGACCTACACACACACACACACACACACACACACACACACACACACACACACACACACACTCACATACACATTGTTATGAATGTGCTATGTCAGAAACAGAAATGAACATATTTGTATCTTTCTATAATGTCAGGATTTAGTGAATAACAATAAATTCACAGTGTACAGTTGTTTCAATGGCATCAACTTGCTAGGTAATTGGACTTTCCTTGATAATACAGCCAATCTGCTTTTACAGAATTATTTGTGTGTGTTTGTATGTGTGTGTGTGTGTGTGTGTGTGTGTGTGTGTGTGTGTGTGTACCTAAAGAGGCCAGAAGAGTTCTTTTTATTCCCTGAAGTTAGAATTACAGGCAGTTGTGGGTGCTGGGAATATGTCCTCTGAAAAAAACAGAAAATGTTTGTAACCACTGACCTACCTCTCCACCTGCATTTTAGTCCAATCTTAATTACTATTATTAGCTCTCCATCACACATCACACAGTAAATATGCTGTTACAGAATGGTTGAGGACACTGCCAAATTCAAGAGGTTTCAGAATGTAGGCTTATAGAAACACTAGTTAAATAAGAAAACAACTGGGCAGGGGTGCAGGAGTTGGAAAAGCCATGGCTATGTGTCTCACAGGTTTAGGGCAAAGCTTCAGAGTTGAGTCCAGCTGTAGAACCAAAGGGCAGGACTGCATCCAGATGAAGAAGCAGATGGATGGATGGATGATGGATGGACAGAGAGATGGATGGATGATGGATGGACAGAGAGATGGATGGATGGATGGATGGATGGATGGATGGATGGATGGATGGATAGATGGATGGATGGCAGGTCCAGATGAGTGAACAGGAGACTGGAGTGTTGAGTAGGCTGTACCAAGAATGGGAGGAACCAAGTTCATTGGAAGTCCTGAGGACAGTCGGGGGTTCTCTGCCTGTTGATCCTTGATGCATACAACAGATGGTCAGATGACAGTTTGGTGGAGGCCACTGTAATTGTCAACCTCCTTATGAGGTCCAGGTGAAGAAGTTACACCCATTCCTTGGTATATTATGTCCAGGAAATTCTGGGGCTTGCTTTCCCTGATAGGATTTTAATATACATGTCCCTACAGCTTCACTTCCTTCTGGTAAATTTATACAGAATAAGTCACTTATCTGTCTGCAGTGCATGGATAGTGCCAGATTGTAGTTGGAGTTTTCTTGCCTGGCCCACAGTCAGGGCAAATCTCTCTCACCCGCCAGTCCCAAGCCACTCAAACCCGATCAAGTAAACACAGAGACTTATATTGGTTACAAACTGTATGGCCGTGGCAGGCTTCTTGCTAACTGTTCTTACAGCTTAAATTAATCCATTTCTATTAATCTATACCTTGCCACATGGCTTGTGGCTTACCGGCATCTTTACATGCTGTTTCTCATCATGGCGGCTGGCGGTGTCTCTCTGACTCAGCCTTCCACTTCCCAGCTCTATTCTCCTCCTTGTCCCGCCTACACTTCCTGCCTAGCCAATGGCCAATCGATGTTTTATTTATTGACTAATCAGCAACACATTTGACATACAGACCATCCCACAGTACTTCCCCTTTTCTTTTCTTAAAAAGGAAGGTTTTAACCTTTACACATCTCCAAAGTCAGCTTGGTATATTTGGGAATTTGGGCGTAGCTTTTCTTACTACTTCCTGCTGGAGGGGGGCGCTGTATCTTCTGGGGAAACAAAGAAAATTTTAGGATCATGGAGTAGTCCGTGAGGCTGTATCATCTGAGCCAGTTGTCTTGAAACGGTTCTGGATGTTGGATCATCTGGGCCATGGTGTCATCGGAGACCTTTCAGGGGGTCTTGGCTGGTCAAACCTGATGTATCTTACTCTGGAACAAATCCATAGCCTCTTGTTTTCTGTGGAAACAAAAGAGACTCTTTTCCAAAGCAACATATCCTTACATCCAAATTTTGAAGTCAAAGTATCTTTAAAATATACATACTGGTTTAACTCAGCTTTCTTTACAATCAAATATCTCTCTGTAGTTAAGAATCCCAAAGACAACACAATCCAGACTCTCTGTGTAATAGTCATCTCTACGTGGCTTATTTTTTATATTAATTTTACTGTCTCTTTAAAGACTTTATTTTTTAAAACCATGTATTTGTTTCTATACTGTATATATCACCTTTTTTTGTCTCTTTCAAGCCTACGTATATTTTACACACATTTTAAACTATTACATCTGAATCTGTTTTATTGTGAATCTATTGCTTTAAGCTGCAGCAGCTGTGGCTGCTGGCTCCGCCCACCTCAACTTCCCAACATGGCGGTGGTTTACCACCAGCTCTGGGAGCTATTGTGGGTCTATGCTTTTATCCAAGCAGTGTGTAGCCCAGAAACCTCTCTTTTTGTTTTGTACTAGCAAAGGCTAAATCCACAATGTAGCTTAATGTGCCACTTGCAGAGGCCTCATTCCCGCCATAGGCAGGTCGAGCACACACGCCAGCAACCCGCCAGTAGCTCAAACCGGCAGCTGCCGCTCATTTGAGAGAGACAATTAGGAAGCTGTTTTTAGCTCCGTTTTAGAATCTTTTTTTTTTCAGGTTTTAGGTGGAAACTCTTGCCCCACGTTGGGCGCCATTTGTAGTTGGAGTTTTCTTGCCTGGCCCACAGTCAGGGCAAATCTCTCTCACCCGCCAGTCCCAAGCCGCTCAAACCCGATCAAGTAAACACAGAGACTTATATTGGTTACAAACTGTATGGCCGTGGCAGGCTTCTTGCTAACTGTTCTTACAGCTTAAATTAATCCATTTCTATTAATCTATACCTTGCCACATGGCTTGTGGCTTACCGGCATCTTTACATGCTGTTTCTCATCATGGCGGCTGGCGGTGTCTCTCTGACTCAGCCTTCCACTTCCCAGCTCTATTCTCCTCCTTGTCCCGCCTACACTTCCTGCCTAGCCAATGGCCAATCGATGTTTTATTTATTGACTAATCAGCAACACATTTGACATACAAACCATCCCACAGTACCAGATAGATGGTGGACGCATGTATCCACCCAGGTGCACAGTCACCTCCCATCTTCAAAATAAAGTCAAAGGTACTTGAAAAATGGGATCTCTTAGAGCAAGACACAGTCGTAAAAGCTACCGATTTATCCAATATGGAGTAACTTGGATCAGGGCACAGACTGATCTCAACAAGCATGCACTCTTTCATGGGGGGAAGGGGCCACAAATTTAAAAAATATAAAGTTTATCTGAAAAATGAAGATTGATGCAATGGGCCCTTGGCCACTGCCCATTCTCACCTGAAAGAGTGCTTCACTTCAATGAATACAGCTTACCTTAGGCAATATCTCCCAAAAGTTTCATTGAATTCTTTCTATAGAAGGTAGGGCACTGGGGAGCTGGGCGGGGGGCGGGGGTGACTGCAGTGAGATCCCAGTAACAATCCAGGACCTCACACATTAAGAAAGTTTTCTCCTACTGAAGGATACCCTTTATATTTAATGTTGCAATTTCCAACATTTGGTACATTAAAATTGTTCCCCTAATAATGATAGTTGATTCCCAATTAAATTTATTTTCCTCATCTCTCCTCAAACAAGCAACTTATCAAGGCTCAATTTAGCATTGAGTGTGGCAACTCAGGTATAGGTGTGATGTAGCTTTTTCCTCTAGTCATTACGGGACCATCATCTGCTGTCATGGAGCAGAGATCATTTTGATCCTACACTTGGCTATGAAGTAAGCAGCATAACACAGCCATTGCTTTTGTGGTGGCAAAGGGATGGTTGATAGCCTAGTAGTAGGGAAGGGAGGGTCACCAAATCGCTACCTGAGATTTCACGTGCCATTCCATCCTGACTCCCAACTCTGTGATATGTCTAAGGGATACAGAAAATGAAAGATTAACTAAAGAACGGACACCCATGATGAAGCCTCCATGAGGATGTCTACTATGATGGGTGTAAGACTTTTTGAGACAGATGTTTTGGGTCACACATGCCACTGTAAGTAACCCCTTATCGATGCTTTTGTAAATAAACTCACTGGCTTAATAAGCTAGGCTGTGTTAAATCATTACTTGAATCTTCGCTATTTAGTCTGGGGTTTATTCATGTCTTCCTAGGAAAAATATTACTACCTTTTCATTTAAAACAAATAAATTGGTGTTATTCAGAAACAAAGCTTTTTGTAAAACTTCATTACAGACCAGGTTCCTCATCCTGGTCTTTCTTCAGCTCCCTGGTCTTTGTGATC